TTAACGTACATCGTAAGTTTCAGTTGAGATATGCAGCCTTCATGAATTGATATGCTCGCACGAACATAATATCCGCAAGCGTTAATATAAAGGCAAGTTGAGTTAATTGGGGCCAGAAATGGCTGAAATGGGCGAGCGAAGAGAACGGAATAACGTATTTCTCACGTGTTCAGTAAAGAGAGTCTGGACCATAATCTTCCACGTAATCTTCTTATGGCAGAACACGAACGCATTTTTGGAAAGTTCTAATCCAGCCATTGCATGCAGCAGCAGTTCTTGCGAAGCCAATGATTTAATGGCTCTGTGAGGTTTGTCATTCTTCGTTCGCATTGCATTACTTATGAATATCTTTTTTGCTCGTGATACAGCCCGAATTGTCGCATGGCAGTCAATTTTTCGTTTTTTTCCCCCACGTAAAAAGACGGGCAGTTCAATTATGAATGGAATACTGTTTGTAAAAGTTGTACATAGTGGTGGTAAGAGCATTCGTACGCCAAAGTTCAGCGATTTCCGTCATGGGAGAAAAATGTAGCTTTCCCTTGACTGACTGGAGGGAAAAATAACTGCGTGAGAGGCCGGAAAAAGCAGAGTATACCTGTCTCTTTCGTTTCGCGACCGAGACAACAGAATATAACGGACAATTCCGGAAATGATTTCACGAACTAAGAACATTGCGAGTTCGTGAGATATTTCTCTTGCGATGCCGCGACTTAAAGCCTACGCGACATGCATAAAAGATTTATGCAAATATCCAATCAAGCCTAGGTATTCCGACGTTCGAATTTGCTCGCCAAATGCGACACGTCTCCTTGGAGATGAGGTCATTTGGGATTATTACCTAGTTAATGTTCTAATAAAATATATATACACATATATATGTATAGATTTATATATTCTATCTAATTATTGCATCTATACTATATATTTGGAACTACTGTTTATTTATTCATATCACACAAAGACACTCAAACTTATAGATTTATAATTAGAATTGAATTTCTATTAAATTGTATTATAGAATGGAAAGATCGCTAAGCGATAAAATAATAGACATTTATATAATTAGTAACTAAATGATTAATTTTATTACTTTAATAATGATCTGGTCTTCAGTTCGCGTTTTTATATATGTCCTACATTTTAATAATTTGTTTTAATAATTCCTAACCAGATCGAATGTAAATGTTGCGATAAAAATTAAAGGCATGTAAAATTTAAATATGCTATACTCTTTTGGAATAATGGTTGAATGCGTTTCTAAAATTGCAATTTACAATTTATATAGACAGAATGAATCCGAATATTATGGATCTCGAATTCGTCATAGAATCCACAAAATATACGCTGAGTTTAGCAATCGTTATTTCATACTGCAAGCATAAAATAATAAAAATGTTCCAGAAATTCAGTGTAATGCATATTAATCGTACGTGACGTTCGTCATCGATTTGCAAATGCACGCGTCGATCTTCATCACATGCATCGGTGCACCCAACGACGCATGTTAATCGCGCGTAATGTACGCTAATAAAGCGTATCAAGCTCATCATATATTTAATGTTGAAGCTTGCTAAGGATTTAGGCCACATTACGAGAATTTCATATGAATTGGATCATTGTAATTTAACTGGGAGTTGAGCGTCTGATTTTGATTCTCACAGTGAAATAATGATCGTTGTATGATAATATAACGAAATCAGAAACATCGAGCTGTAAGGCGCAAAAACACATAAAACTGCAATTGATGCAAGGAGAAACATTTTGTAATCATCAAAAATTTATGGAAATTTATTAAGTAAAAAGCAAAATAGCAGCTTGTCTGAATTCTGTTCACATATCATTGGGTATTCGAGTAACGTATGTACAAAATGCTAAATATGTGAAATTATAATCCGGTTAAAAATATTGCGAATTTTCTACCTGTACTGTAATTAAGCTGAAAGCATCTACTCGAATCTGTTAATTAAGAAGATACAGCAGACACAAGTCATGGAATAAAAGTGGATAATTTAATCATAATGTAATGAAATCGCAACTATATTTGAATCATAAATTATACGATATAAATATAAATATGAATATGAATATGATATGCCTATAAATCATAAATATATTTTGTCTTTATTCTATATTAATCGTACGTTAAAACGCTTCGTGATATTTTTTCTTAATATTGTATTATAGAAAACATGATAATGTTTGAAAAATTATAATTATTTAATTAAACTTCACGATCTGTTTTCGCCTTTTTCTGCTTAAACAAAAATCTAATCGCGTAAGCACAGTGAAAGGTGAAAAAAGAGTGTCTGCTACAAATGGTATTACAAACGAAATGTCGACGTCATTCAATTTATTGGAGTGTTTTTCTCTCTTTCTCTCTTTCTCTCATTAAAATGTACAATTTATTCTACGTTAACCACCATACAAACAAAGCGAGGCGAGCTGTTGTTGGGCACGTGAAGACGAGTTGATTTGGGCGATATCAACTGGTTAACCAAAAGGACTCACATATCGCCCCTCGTTCAACTATTCGATGTGCTAATTACTGTTCTCGGACCCATTATACCCAAAGCATTATCACCGATCACAATTCGTGCTTTGAGAAGCAGGGCATGTATGGCGCTGAAAGCGTATTATGCATCAAATCTAATTTGTAACATATATCGCAATACATATTTTAATCAAATTAATATTATATATGGTTATTACATATAAGCGTTTATTATTTATTTATAAATTATTGGAAATTTGAGGAAGGGGTTTTATTGTCAACTTTAGTATTATTTATGTTTAATATTTATTTTCTTTACTATCTTGATATCTCGACGTCGTTCATCGTGTGAATTATTTTAATTCTCAACTATGGCATGCTGATATAACGGTTTTGAATTTCACATCCATTGTGCTAAATAAGAACGGGATTTAAGAGGTGCAAAAGCGTCACTCCTGGAAGAAAATAGCAAGACGGACACTGAAAGCTCTTAATACCTTCTTCTTCGCGAACGAAACTCATTACTGCGAACTGAATTAGCAATATATCCGTCATCTTGATTTCGTAAAAAGTATATGAAGCCATTATGCGAAATGCATAATAGTGCATATTATTCGTCTTTATTTATTTACCTGCAAAAATTGACTCACTAATCTATAAATTATGACGTAAGTTTATAGATCGATTATTGATTGAAAACAAATTATTTTTAAATTATATACACGGTGTTCCACGTAACTGTGATCACAATTTTTCCGGCACTTTCGACGATCTGACAAAAATTGTTTTGAAATAAAAGTTAATCGGCTTTTCAATCGACTACAAATATTAAAAATTTGAAACAAATTCTTTTTTAGGTAAAAAGTCAAGATCATCTTAATTTTTTTTAACGGCATCACGTGTTTAATTTCATAATATTGTATCTGATGTCAAGATAAATTCAATTACCTGCTGTACTATAACTTTTAGAAGATCTTAAATTTAGACATGTAGGATCAATGAACATGACTTTTTACCTAAAAAAGATTTTTTTGCAAATTTTTAACATTGCAATGTATAGCCGATTAAAAACTAATTAATTTTTATTTCAAACAATATTTTTGTTAAATCATCGGAAGTGCAAAAATCGTGATCACAGTTACGTGGGACACCCTGTGTGTGTGTGTGTGTGTGTGTGTGTGTATGATATAACAATAATACCGATTCAAAGTTAATATTTTAAGTAGTGAGAGTTAAGATATTCAATTTTATTATATATATATATTAATAGGAATATTAATAGGATAAGGTAATACAATTCTGAGCAAAATAAATCAACTTTCGAGGTTCAAGTTTAATAACCCTTTCATTATGAGGAAGGCATTGAAAAATAAATAAGAGATACAGTATAATTTCGGCATTAATAAAATTAATTACTTGCTTCGAGAGCAATATCTATCACCTTTATTAATTCGAAGGATTATACGAGATTATTTTGATAGGTTTACACAAAGCTTATTGCGCTCGTTTTACTGGTCATACGAACAGAAAGATATGTTTTTAAGTATAGATATGATTAAGTATAGATATGATTAAGTATAGATATGTTTTTTTGCTTAACTTGAAAACGTAATGCAAAGTTATTATAAATTCAAATTAAACTAAATATGAAAATATTAGAATATTGCACAGTTTAATTTTAGAATATAATAAGATACTTCTGAAACATACGGTAAATATCTATTCCATACGCTTTCAAAGCTTGCAGAGTATGAACTCATTCATTTTACTGATGACATTTGTGTTAAAACTTTATATTTCCTAGTATGAATTTATATTCGCATTCATCCATTCGTTTATAGAATTAACAAAGCTGATACGTAGAAATTATTCGTGCAGATTCGCACATACGAAATATGAAGAGAGAAATTTACATTCCAAAGTGAAAGGAATTAATTCGTTTTGTTTGCATCAGCCCTTCTGCTACTATCTACTAGCGTCACAACCATGCTCCATGGAATTATCACAGAAATCAGTAAATAATATCACATTTCAATTATTTTTTAATGACGTAGTTATCAAAATATTAATAAAAAAGTGTGCATATCGCACATCATTTAATATTTTACTTTTCGATATTGCTACTCTAATAGAAAGATTTCTACTAGGATATTTTTACTGGGAGAAAAGGCTACTATTTATCATAAAACTATTTTTCATAAAACAAATACGGAAAAAGAACATTACCAAAACATTAACGGAAACTTTGTACGGAAAATTCATAAATCAAATATTAAGTTTTTCATTATTCTCTCTTTTTTCGCCTTAGTTACATATTCTTTACACGAAACACCTAGCTACTTGGTCTACGATAGTAGGCAATCATAGGCACGCAACGATAGTGTTAGCCGACGTATTCTCGTGGTCGCGATCCCATGATTCCTGTACCGGAAGGGGTCCATTAGTCAGGCAATAATAATGCCAACGGACACCCGGTCACCAGCAACGCAGCGGAGAGCTCGGCTCTACAAATTATAACGCTTTCGCGTCTTAACCAGAAGACTGTCTTAGCTATAGCATCGCTACATCGGCATCGTTATATCGACTTCGTCGATTCTGTGTTTTATTCGTGGATTATTATCATTTCACATCCATCTGGATCTTATCGATCGTGCCTTGTACTTCCGACGGTGATTTCGAGAATTGTGTATTAGACACATCGATGTGGACGTCGCAACGTGAAAATATATTTCTTTTGAGAAAACTAACGAGCGACTGATTACGCACTACCATATATCTGAAATATCCGGTTAATAATTGTCTGCAAAACAACGATAATATCGTGACGCAATTCTCGCGGTGCAATTGCATCCGATAGACAGCGGTGAGAATATTATTATCAAATGAAGAAGCAAAGCAATGATAACTCAGTGGGTGGTAACGGAAGCTTTGTGGTGACTTTGTTAATCGAGTTTGTGCCGACGTAGGTGGAGTGCGTACACCACAGTGAAAGGCGTTTATCGGGGAAATAAATCATTCACGCGCACCAGTGAGATCGTAAGTTGTGACTATAATAGTGATACCTTTGCTGTACAATATCGGTTGTTATTTTGCGTTTATCGTCCGAAACTCAAATATCATCAAATATCATTGGGAGAGTAATTTTGACATTCGCGCGTGAAACGAGAATTGACCTAGTTCCAACTTGCAATGCGCTGAAGCGCGTTACTTCACACTCAATTCACTTCACAAACCAAGAAGTCTTCTCGTGAACATCTGCGAATTTCATCGCTTGAATATATTTGTTATGTAACGAAAATGCGTGAGTGTTCAAGGAGACCTGGCTATTGCGTATATTTGAACGATTAGCTAATCGATTATTACTCTAACAGTGACATCAAAAGCGATATGCCTAGTGATACGCACGCGAATACACATCGTCATTCCATTTTGCGTCTTCCGTTGAATATATTACGAGCTAGAAGAAGATACGCTACATGGCTCGGTAAGTTGCTAATAAAGCAATTGAATTGCATTACGATATCAAATAAGCTATCATCAGATAAATACATATATCAATATTAAAATATGCTAAATAACAGAAATAACCCAGCGACTTTTTAATAAAAATTAAATCATCTTAATCTTTAATCCTTATATAGAAAATAGTTTTGCTGAAGTATTAAAAAATTTAACTAGAATTGAAAATAAATTTTATTGGAACTATCAAAATAACCATGTAGGACGCTCAAATTGAGTGCTAGGAAATCTAATATGATGAATAATGCTGCAAAAATTTTGACAGTTTTATAATCGTGTATCGTATATAATTACTTAGTTCAATAAAATTTATTTTCAGATCTGTATTTATAAGTCAAATTTATTAATTATTTCAGCAAAATCGATTTTTTTCCATCTGCATGTTAAAATTACACAGGACTATATTTATAATAGTAATTCAAACTAAGAATCCGATTTGAGCTTGATTCAAATCAATCTTTCTCAACACGCTTCCCAAATCACAATAAAATTTGATGAGTTCTAACTTTAGTTCAAACCTAACTCGCTTGAAATAAGAATTAATCGCGGATCGATCTACGACTATAAGTATGGACCAATAATTTTTATATATACTCGTAAAAGTGATTAAAATTAACCAGGGATACAATACTCTAAGTTTTTTGTAGTGAAATCTTACTCCAAGAGAGTGAAAATGTAGTGTACCTAAAAAAAAAGTAAAAATATTTCACTTCTTCAAAAAAAAAAGTGACAATCTTTACTCTTTTTAGAAATCTCACTTTTTTAGAATGAGATTTCACTTCAAAATTGACTCTAAAAAGAGTAAAAATTGTCTCTTTGAAAAACTCTTTCAAGAAGTGAAATATTTTCACTTTTTTTCAAGAGTAGTTATATTTTTTTGGAGTGAGATTTCACTGTAAGCAATTTAGAATGAAACAAACTATTGTGTGTACTATAAATTATAATAAAATGGAGTTTCATACTTGATTTGGAATAAAAGCTATTTAAACAAAATTTATTAGAAATAAAATACATTTAAATATATAGTGCTATTAATGTTTGCATCTGTTACATACATAATTCATGTATTTGTAAAGTGTCTATATAAATTAAACATATGTAAATACAGTGCAAGACTGATTTGTTAGCTTTCAACATGCCATATTTTGAGAAATATTACAAAAATGATAATAATGTTATTAATAATGTTGTATATAGCTCCACTAACGAATAATAAAATTTGATGTTACTACAGTCATTAATAGACTGTATACGTAAAAGTTTCATGCCATTATCATAACTACCAATAAGTAGACGTTTATTATGCACATATATGAATATTTTCGTATTATAAGTTTGCAGTAAACCAACACGATTAGAATACCTTTCTATATTGCACTATTATTGCTTCGTGCCAGACGTGCTCTTCTGCGCTAGCAATAATTCCAGTGAATTTCCATCTTCTATTTCTACATAAACTACACAGTTATTGGATAAATATTAAACTAAAGAGAAATGAACGTCGCACTATTTTAACAATGTTATTGTTCCATGATACTCTCTGTAACTGTATATACCGATAAGTATATTTTAAACAATTTGTAAAAATAAATGTTACATTTGAATAAACAAAGAAATTGGTGAATCAATTAATACATTTTATATTATTACTTCTGTAACAAAATAACGACATTATGATATTAATAAAAAATTGGTTTGAAATATTTCATTACAATTAAAAATTAAAATTAATCTTGTTCGCAGGGGTTACATTAGGGGTTTTATTATGTATGTCTTAATACTTAAGAAAGTTGTTTGAAAGATTATGACGTGTTTATATGAAATTTCCTGTTTCGATTTTATCGCGTTTCTTATCTCTCTTTGATTTATCGAGCTCCCGTTTATTTGCAGACTCGGTGTACTGGTACACCGTGGCAGAGCGAACAATGGATAGAAGAGCAGAGGCTAAGTAGCAGGCTGCAGGTACAGAAACGGAGACGGCGCGAGAGGAAGATTGGAAAGAGGCGTGTGGCCGACAGAAAGCGAGAGTGAACAGGAGGATAGGCACGGAGGCCGAAAGTAAGGCACGGGAGGGTCGGCCATTGTGACAAAGTCGCAAGGGGAGAAGTGTGGAGTCGCACGAAAAATGAGGGAGCGAGCACTGTCGGATGTGTGGCGGCTGGTGTGGTTGCTTTGCCTCGTTCTGGCGACGAGCTTAGCGCAAACGTCACAGGTCTGTCCGTCCCACGGCGAAATCGCGCCCTGTTACTGCAGCGTGAAGAAATCTGGCTTGGACATTGTGTGCGAGATCACCGACCTGACACACATCTCCAAGGCCATGGTCGTGCTTAAGGGAAGGCCGAATCTCGTGATATTCTATCTTCGACTCAGGCACAACACTCTGCCCAAGTTGCAGGGATACGTGTTTCTCGGGCTCGATATACGCCACCTCACTATTCACAATAGTAGCCTCGCGGTACTTGAAGAATCTTCCCTTAGTTCTATCGGTGAGTATATATGATATTCGTTTATTAAGCGAAGCTAAACAGAAATACCAATAAGACGCGCAAAGAAGAGCTAGAAATTTTCATTTTTTTTTTTCGGAATAAATAGAAATGTATAAAATCAATGAAATTTACTTCGCTGAAATATAAAATATAAATTCAAAATAGACGACAGTAAAATTAATTTTGTTCTCAAAATTCAAATTAATTTCTACAAACAAATATTATCTTTTGTTTTCGTTTTTATTTTATCTCAGCATATAATTTTGTGATATTTGTAGTATCTATTTGAAAAATTTCAAAGAAATTTAAAAAATATCATATTATTAAAAATATTTCAAAAAACAGAGTATTCGAAAAATCGTATAATGGACTGCCGAATGTTTACAAAAGTATGGAATTGCAAATGTTAAATTTACTAATAGTTACTATTAATCATACATAAACATTTTCATTATAATTATAAATATATATATTATAGCTAAATATATATATTATATTGTAACAAAATAAATTAAATTAAGATATTAAAATGTTAAATTATTTTTAATATTAGAGATTATTAAAATAATCACTACATTTTGTGACAATTTTACAAGTAATTAATTAAAGCGTGAATTTTAATCCAATATCCTCATATATATAAATTCAAATTTATAGGATTCTTCAAGAATAATAATTGTTAAAGAAAATTTGATAAGTCAGTTCACATGACTAAGATTACCTATGAATATATCAATGATATTCAATTACGTTCTAATCTTCAAAGAGTATCGCAGTCAATAAATAAGAAGTAGTGAAAAGAGCTTTTTATTATTGCATGTACCATGTAATATTCTTCCGTTCCACGTAATATTTTTTACGACATGGAACGGTATATGTTCTCTTCAAAAAGCTTCAAGAGACGATTTCAAATCAGTTTTTTTATATTAAAGCCAACGTTGAAGCATTCAATCTGTCACGCAAGATTCACGTTAAAGTCGACTGCAAATTTAACCCGCCTTTAAATCTCTTACGAAATCCCGGACTCGTTTGATCACCACATCGCCTTTGCGGCCACGTAGATTCAGAATAAATTACTGTAAGGGACTGGAAAATACGTTCTTTTTACACCTGCTGTATTCTAGATACGCGAAGATAACCACATCGCGTGTACCGGGACCTTAATGAGAATGCGGCACTATGAAGGCGTCTCGACGCAACATCACTCGGTTGCATTAACTCGCAACGTCGAAAGCACATTAAATAATAGAAAATGTTATTTTCCAACTGGGTTTTACGCTTGCGACGTGTTTTTACAGCAAATTAATTGTATATAAAATAGAAAGGATGCAAACTTCGTATTAGTCAGTGCGGTAAAGTCAATTACGTTTTGCGAAATAACTATTAGTCAATTTCGCAAAACGCAAAATAATTTTTAATTCTCACAATTTATAATTCTCGTTCTTATGCATATACATATATCTAAATAAATAATATATACATATAGGTAACTTCAAAATTTTTTTAAATATATATAATATGTTCAGTAAATTACAATTTTTTTATTAAATGTCTAGCTAACGTTAAAAAAATTTTTATATAATTGGACTTTTCAATATTAATTAAAATGGTATCCCATTAAAAATTTTATTAAAACGTGATTATAAATAATGAATTCTATGCACTAGGTTTTATTAAATACGTTAATATTAAACTAATAAAGCAATTTTTCTTAAATAAAATGAATATGTGAAATTATTATATTAAATCTGAGAAATTCTAGAAAACAACATGTTACAAATTTCAATTATAAAGTTTATATGAGTGATTTTGCAAATGCAAAATCAAATATGTTTCTTCTTACAGGAACGGGATTGACACAGCTGGATCTCTCCCAAAATTCGCTGAGTAGCGTTCCATCCCACGCGTTAAAAGACCTTCACCATCTCTTGATTTTGAATTTAAATCGTAACAAAATCACAGCTATCCACGGTAAAGCCTTTGAAGGTCTCGATACACTCGAAATTCTTACCCTTTATGAGAATAAGATCTCCATTATAGAAGCAGATGCATTTAAAGGGCTCGATAAGTAAGTCGCTTCTATTTACTGATATTTTAAATTCCAAATAAAAAAAAACTAAGAGAGAAAGAAAGAACAAAATCTTTTATTCAAAATTATAAAAAAAACTTGAAAATGTATTTGCTTGGCCAACGAATATCTCTTAAATTTGCAACCCAAGAGGCTCTATATTGTTTATACAAGTTTCAAATAAAAAACGAGTTCAAATATTCCAGTCTATTTTAACAATTTTAAACTTCACACTTTTTTAGCCGAAGACTCAAAAGACTTAACTTAGGCGGAAATGAGCTAACGAGAATCCCAACTCAAGCTTTATCTTCGTTAGAATTATTGAAAAAATTAGAAATGCAAGAGAATCGAATATCCAGCATAAAAGAGGGAGACTTCGAAGGTAAAATTAATAATCCGTTTTACTTTACAAGACATGTCTTTTTTTAATATTCCAGTTTAGCTGATCCCATTTCGTAGAATAATTGTAATTTTAATTAAACCAACTTCTTTTTTAATTTACTATATATATATATATATATAGATATATATATACATCCAATCTACATATAAATAAAGCGTTTTTATAAAATAAACGTGTAACGAGCATTTCATACAATTAAATGAAATGCTCATCGATAAAACGTTTTAACCTTTCAGGATTGAAAGCGCTCGATTCATTAGGATTGGCGCACAATCACCTTCGTGAGGTTCCGGCACGTGTATTCTCTCATTTGACGCAATTAAACTCTTTGGAACTTGACGGAAATCAGATTACTCATGTGGATGCCAATGCGTTCATAGGTCTTGAGGGTAAGTATAGTTAAAATTATAGTGCGCCTAATATTAATATCATTCTGCTGTTATGAAAAATTGTATTAATTCTAGCTAGAGTCCCCGGGATCCCAGCGCAACTTTTTAAATCAAGATTTTTTCGCGTTTCTAAATTTTTCTTTTTCTTTGAACCTATATATCTCAAAGTTTCTTAATTCTATCGACTTTTACACATTATGGATTTGTTCCTTAATCAATTCTCCATTGATTGAAAAAAAAAAATTAATTGAAATATATCCATTTTTACGGAAGTTACGATAACAAATATGGATGAGGTCCCAGGGATCTCAATGTGTACATCAAGCATGCAAAAAAACAAGTGTGTAGAGCTAGGATTAATAATATGCAAAGGAATAACTAATGCTTGCATGTCGTTTTATTTTTTAAATATTAATTAAAGAATAATTTGAACTTTTATATATATATATGTTCATACTTCTATACTTGTAGTAATAGTTCAAACTAGTATCGGTAAATCATCTTAATATCGATATAGCTGATATAATCAGTGTGTATTATGAATTTGAGTATGATTTCGTGTTCAGTTTGCAGTAAAATTTCTATAGTCTCTGCAGATCACGTCCTACTTTATTTATCATAGCGAACGACACAACTGCTTAGCATTTAAATTTATCGCATGCTACGGCTGCTTGCCGGCGATGCAATCGGTACCCTTTGGGAACACGGATATAAATGAGCGAACGACACTTTACAAACTGCCTTTCATCTCGTAACGTATTATGAACGCGAGTTCAACTATCAAGATAATATTTCGGCAAAACGTTGTGCAAACATACAACAATTCAATCGACAATTTAGCCACGTACTTTTAGCTTCGCAATCAAAAGACAAATAATTTAATCAGACATAAAAAAGCCCGTTGTAAATAAATATTAATAAAAACAAATATTAATGAAACACAGTAGATCAAAAAATATTTCCACAAATATTTTGTTTGGAATAATTTCATAAAACTAAAAGATATTACAAACAAAAAGATATTTGCACATTAATTGCGATGCATATATTCTTTCTATTGTAAGAATATATTTTACTTTTTAATTTACGCTAATATGTTGAAGAAATATATTTTAACAATACATATTCTTTCAAAAAATTTCTTAAAATTATTCTTAATATCCTTTTTTATTTACCAATATTCAATTAATATTTGTTACTAAAAGCCCATTCATTTAAAACTTTTTAATCATATATTATTCTATCAATGTTGAAGAATCCAATTAAAGCTTTCGAAGTATTTGATTCATGCTTGCGTAAATTCTTGCCGATCGATCGAGTGTTTATTCACTGTGAGTAGCTTGATTTAATTATAATTAACTGCAATTCATCGAAAGAAGTTCATTTGAGCGTATCGTAACTTTTGAGAGCTATTATTAATGCTCTTCACGTAACGAAGCTACCTACTGCAAGCTAGATTACTGTTTTTCTCTAATATACCTATTTCATATAACATTTATATAGGTTTTAATTGCGTTATTCGTATCAGTACAAAAAAATTTTTATACTTCTTTACAAAAAAGTTAGAGATCATGAAAATTTAATAAATTTAATAAATTTTTTAATTATATATGTATATATATACACACATATTAATATTTTTTAATATATTCTTTCTGTAATTTTCATTTTAGAAAATCTGCAATATTTACGACTGGGAGATAACAATTTGCATATGGTACCGAGTGACGCTCTGCGACGTTTGCATCGCTTACGCCACCTTGATTTACGGTCAAATAACATCACTGTACTTCCGGAGGACGCTTTCACGGGCTATGGAGATTCCATCACTTTCCTTAATCTACAAAAAAATATGTAATGTCCTTTCTTTCCATGCAACTTAGGAATTTAGATCGAAAAGTATTTCAATTTTTCTAATATATATGCAAAATATTCTACAGCTTCACGTATTTCATTTTTTCAGGATTAAAATACTTCCGCCTCTGGTATTCGAAAATCTCAATTCGCTAGAAACTTTAAGTTTGCAAAATAACAGACTCACACATATCCCAGAAGAAGTTACGGAGAACATCGTTGATACACTACGTCACATAGATATGACAGGTAAAAAAAGCATCCCTCCTTTTATTTAACATTTATATTACTTTTCTTTTAATCGAATATGCGATAATTCCGAAATTTTATTAGTTCCCTTTATTTAAATTAAGACCCTAATATTTAAACAAATGAAATATATTTTAATTTTTTTTTATTACTCACATCTTATTAAATATTAGTCTTTATAATATAATTGAGTCATTTGTTCGTTCTGCGTATTTTTTTTTAAATACTAGGAATACTAATTAATTATAACATTTATCTACAATTTTTTTAAATACAAAAATAAGTTTAAATACCAAAAGTAATCGATTATTAAAAGTTACTTTTGCAATGAGTAACGATTCATTTGAACATCATTTTGATGTTTAAAAGAATCATTATCGTGATTTAGAAAAGGAGTGACCGAAAAATCATCATACATGTTAAGAATTAATAATCCGAATTATAAATAACATATTGTACATTAAAGCTACTTTTAGCAAAAGTTGATCCATTTCAGTAGAAGCGCAATCCATTATCGTGCGATTTTATTAATTTCATCTTTCTTCCACTCCGTTTTTCTTTCGTGTAGATAATCCTTTGATTTGCGACTGCGAGCTTCGATGGTATTCCGTGTGGCTCGGAAATCTGCGCGACAAAGATGACGAGATGATGTCAAAGAAGCGAACAGTCTGTATGATGGTTTCGGAACATCGTGAATACTCCGTGCAGAGTATTCCGCTCGATAGAATGGGCTGCGTGGGCAAGAACGCCGGAAAATTCTCGTCATCAGCTGCTGGGTGCAGACTGTATTTGGACAAGACACTACCGTTGATTATTCTTATACTACCGTTGATTATTCTTACTGGTGTTCTACTTTAATCTCTCAAGAATGCGGCAGCGCGGTGACAGACGGCCGACTTTTCGTTTCGAAACGGAACGGTTAATAATCATATTTCTCGTCTTCATTAAAGCTGTTATTATAAGTCACGTGATTGCTGTAGAATCTAGGTCATTAAAAATTTCCAATTTTGTTATTCAGTTCTGTAAAGAAGAAGGATTCCCGTGCCTTTCGAGATAATCGTGACGCGATAGCGGAGACGTGTCACGATTCCACGATGGCCATCTTTTCGTAGAAATTGAGAAATGCTACTTTATCACGTATCATCGCGATAATTTAATATATCGTGTAGACGCTGTTATGGAAATGGCGCAAGCACCCAGAGAAAAGTTTCTTCGATTTAAGAAATGTTTCTTTGCTATATTAAAGAAAAAATTTCTTTGATTTGAACATAATTTCTTTAAATTAAATGAATTTTTTTTATTTAATTTCAGAAAATAATGTTTAAATTAAAGAAATGACTTTCTTCGATTTAAGAATGAATTTCTTTAAATCGATGAATTTTTTTCTGAGTGAGGGAATTGCGAGACGAAAAGTCGGCGTATTATCACAATGTCCGTTTGTCACGATTGGCCAAATTATAACAAGATTTGAACACCGGCTGACGAAGAAAGCAGCTGGCATTATTCAAACGGATTTCTACGATTCGGAGCAACGGATAGGAATTGATTGCTTGATTCCTTTTGCCCTTTGACAAGCTGCTTTTTTATTTCCCAGGAGAGCATGCGAAGACATGTCTCGTGTGCGGAGAGGTATATTATGCATATAGTGATGGTTGCTTTTCTGTGCAGATACGCGTCCATGCGATGCGATCGCGCGTGGACAATCATGTAACGTTTGGTACCCGCGACAATCGATCTTTTGAGAACTGAGTACTTTATACTCTTCCGAATATCTACCGTTTTTTCACGGTAGTTTTCTTTTTCAGTTCAATCATTGGAATGGCCCTTCGATTTAGTGCATGGACGACAATCTATTCGTTGCTTACACGAAAGCTTGCCGAAATATTAAATTTAATCGAATTTAAATTTTAATCGAATCGATTAAATATATTTTTTTTCAGTGCCATTTCCAAATTACTTGATGATAAGACCCAATTCATTTTTGCGATAGCTTAACGTTCAATGTACACCGTAAAGCCCAATTTATTCGCCGCGTTTGATTAAGCCGAAATACAATTCGCGAAAGTACAATGATTGTGTTAAAAAGTTAATCGTTGCGGTAAATATCATGAGTCGGATCGCAGTAAATATCATGAGCAATTCCTGCAAATGTCGAAATGATAATCACTGACACATTGCAGGATCATTAGACATTAATAATGAGTAGTGTACGTAGAAGATGTATTTGCTATGCGATGGTGGATTAATTTCTAATGATTTCATTATTATTTATAGAACTCTCAGATGCTTTACAATCGAATTACAAACAACCAAGGAAACTCTAGTAAATGAATCTGTGACGTTTCACATGCTGTGTGTTTATGATAATTCGAAAAGACTTCTACTCTGAATAAAGACTTCTAATAAAGTACATATATCTTTAATTCTTATTAGGCAGCGAGGTATCATGTAGTTCGATAGTATAGAATCTGAGTGATTGCTAGGAACAAACGTTGATCGACCAGTGGACCGTAGAATTCTCGCTCGCAAAAAGCGCACGAGTTTTCTTCACCGGAACGTTACATATCAGCATCGTTGCCAATTATTTCATGGTTATCAGTTAAGCTCGCGACGCGAGGCGTAGTAATACTAGCGGATCCGAGTGATCGGAAATCAGATTCCGGGTCACTCGTTATATACATATCAATGCGTTCCTGTTGAACACAATGCTGCGAATAGTCGATATCCTCCATATGCTCGTATTTTCTGTATGCCATCATCTTCCAAGACTTCATACCATTCGATATTATTTTTACTTATTTCTTTTTTTTTACTTATTATTTAAAATTATTCCCAGAAATTTACAGGAATTATTCAAACGGATATTTTATACTTAACAGAAAGTAGGTCATTCCGATCTTCCTATTTATTCATCGTAAAAGGTTCTTTGATTGATTAAGATATACTAATAGAGAATAAAATGGATCGATTAAATCCAGGGATTAAAAGAAAATAATGATACGTTCATCTTTTATCAATTTTTTTGCCAGAATGTCCCTGCGCACGATAGTCGCTAACATCTTGAGATCGCTGCGATACTTAACTTGATTCGCAAAGACCCGACTGCACGAAATGAGATAATGACTGTGCTGATGACACGTAATACTCCCAACGATACTCTCAACAGGAAACCGACACTTGTCAAAGTCGGTAGAGCACAAACGCGGTTATTCAAATGCCTCGTTGCGTTCGCTTTACGACTCGGTTACTTCGCTGTCGCGACAGTTCACGTGTGCACTAAAATTGCACCATCTTGCAGAAGGAAATGCATGCGATGCACGTGTTCGTGATGATCACGAAACGCAAGACACAAACAACTGTAGGAGCATGTAGCTGTGTTAAAATATTTCCCTTCCGTTAACAATAATTTGCGCTCACAGACGGAAGATCGTGGCATACGAGAATATATTTCGCGCGCTTCGCTTTGAAAAATATTCGGTAAATGTATTCAACGATACATATTCAGCGACGAATGCGTTTCTCAGCGAGGACATCACGGGAGATCGATCGTATAAAAACAATGTAGTTCACAGGACGTAGTGCTGATTACAGTACTGACACAGAAAGTAACATGTGTTTTGCTATTCGATACGTATGAATATAAGATAGAATTAAGCCTAAGGCATTATTATAAGGCGCATACACCGCATGGCGGATTATTAAGGTCACCGATATGCGCGTCAAATGGAGCGTCAAGCCAAGCTTTTCGAAAGTGAATTTTGAAGTTGAGCACTTCAGAGAATATCCGAATTCTTTAGGTTACTCATTTTAGTTCAGTATGTAAAATAATACGCTTATATAATTGCAACAATTTCGTACCAATATTTTTCATACATGTATAAAATATTAGAATCTTTTGCCTAATTTAAGATGAATACTTCAACAAACTAATAAGGAAAATTTACGGAATAATTAAATAAAATAATTTTTAATATTTTATAACTCCAAAATTGAAACATTAAAATATTTTACTTTAATCTTTTATCTCAAAGTAGAAACGGAGTAATTATATTATGATTGCCAAATTTCAATCTAAAAATAAACGTAAACTGTTAAATCTAACGATGAATAAATAAATCTTTACATTAATTTTGTTTATGTTTGTTAATTTTATTCATAATTTGATTGATATAAGATTGTTGCATTTATGTTCTAAAAAAAATAATTTAATTAAAACAGTGCGAGGTCTAATTTCTAAGCTAAAATCTTCTCTTTCGAATGCACAGGCAGACACGCGCGACGATGTCACATACACACGAACACATATCATTTATACGCCCAGATTTAATTGTAAGATAAACTGATTAATTAAGTCGATTTAAGACTTGACGAAGCTATAACGACTAAAGATCGTATACATATCGTGAATGTACGAGATTTAAGAGAATTTATTTGTTAACATATACATATATATATATACATATATATGTACGTTACATATAATATATATATATTATTATGCATTATTTTACGATTATAAAAGATATATATTATATATACCTATATCTCTTATATATACTTATATGCACTAGATGTTTTTTCTAAGAAGTTATATTTATAATAGTATAAAACTGCCGGGCACACATTGGTGTTCTAAAATTAATTTCCTTTTAAATCCAGAAAAATCTTCATTTTAATTATATTATGCTATATTCTATTATAAATTATACAATTTTTTTTTATTTTGACATGAAATCTAAAAATAAAAAATATATTCGCGTTAAAAACCACTACGTTAAATTTAATTTTGCTATTTAGATAATAAAAATTAACGATACGCCGAATGCGATCCTCTGCAGGCCCTACATTTAGCTTAGGATTCGTACGAGGCATATCTAATACTTACTAATTTTCTCCTTGTTAATTACATCCGAATAATTTCATGAATATATATTTGCAAATAACTTCTTAACATCTATATACAATTATAATTATTGAATAAAGAAAAACGGCAATGTGTGAATGGCAATGAGTTATAAAAAAAGTTGACAGATATGAAAGTAAAATTAGCGAAGTAGCATAATTATCTGAGTCAGAAATTCGAAATACATACTTTGCTATTATAGAAAAACACATTCGAGAAATGTAACAAAAAGAGCTATTTTAATTCATTTTATGTATTTCGTGCTTCAATCATTTTTCTTAACAATCTTTCACATTAGTCTACATTTATTAGTCTACATTTCTTATTTTTATTCTACTTCTTCTATTTTTAAATTTTATTTTTTTACTATCTAACTTATAAAAAAGGACAAAGTAAAGGCAAAAGTTTTCCAGATATTTTTCAAATTGTTTATTTGATTATATATGCGAAATTATATTTGCTTCATTAAAGAATTTCCGTCTCAGATGTTAGAACATATCTTTAGACAAGTTATAGAAACGAAAGCAAAAACGGGAGTTTGCGCGACTCTAATCTTTTCTGCTGGTTGATATAGCGGCGTACGCTGTTAAGATGCTCTGATGCTGTACATGAAAAAGCACCTGTACGCGTATAATGCATACAGAATTGTCTATACCCTTTATACTTCTACTTGAATAATAATCGAACAAAATCGAGAGACAGTATCGTTTCCAAACTTCTAACATTTCACAGGTATTGCATAGCAAATAGAAATATTTATCAGCGACCGCAGCAGCCGAAAGGACTACAGATCGCCAGACATTAAGCCCGTAGAACCATGTCAAGACATATCGGTGGGAACCGTCGCCAGACTCGTCGGGCGCGCCGTTTATTATTACTAATTATTATAAGCGGATATTTTTGTACAGCGTCTTACAATGTGGTCGGATCGTTGCCGGCACGCCTGACGGGCGCACGACCGGCCTGCCATACTTACTTCATTTAATAGCGCGCGATACCCTGAAGACGCGTAAACACGTACGTGCGCAAGCACAATGATATAAACACATACACACACACACACCACACACACACACACACATATATATATAAACGCATGTGTGTGCGTCAGCGGAACGTGTAAACGAAATAATATTATCTTACACTCCCCCGCGCGTAAGAACGATGAACGGAGCTTAACTATTGATCGAAGGATATATCTTTGTAATCTCGGTGCTCTCGCTCACACGTCGCTTCTTCGCATGACTCCAGAAACCTCGTATCTGTGTTAACACGTACCAATATATACACACACGTATATGGCATAACACATTACAGACGCTA